GACCAAAGTTAATTTTGAAAAAAATTAGTTTTGAGTCAGATTTTAGTGTATTTTGACTTTGCATTAAAATAATATTTAAAATAAAATATTAAAGTTGATTTGAGTTCAAAGTAGAAGAGATGATGGAAGTGACGGTAGTTAAAAAGATGTGAGTGGATGAATAATAAATTATATTTGTATGTGATGATTGATTAAAATGATGTGAGTGGATCAATAATAAATTTTATTTATATGTGATGATTGATTGATATTATTTATTTATATTGATAATATTGAGAAGTGTTTGATTGATTTTTTTTTTTTCCAAACGATAGATTTATTACTAAAACACATATTTACAACCGGCTCACTAGTCGAAAAATGGAGGCCTACCAACATCCAAAGATAGCCTAAATCACAACACAAACACACAAAAAGTTCCCCAATGAGAGAATACAAGTTCTCCAACAGGAGAATCAACACTCCTGAAAACGAAGATAAAAAACACAAACGCACTCTTACAATATAACACGAACACAAACACAAAAAGAAAAAAAAAAAGTTATAGCCCTTCCCACAACAGCGAAACCAGACAAAACACCAATGACGCAGGTGTCGGGCAGCCACCCATACGGACAAAGACATGATCCAAGCGTCAAAGCCAGAAACTGTAGATAAATCGTCTAACCAATTTCAAGACTAAAGGACCGCAATCCTCACCCGGGTAGACAACCCATAGACCCGCAACCGGAGAGAACACCACAAACTCCACCTCCCAAATCCCGACAAACTGAGCCCAGTACACAAGAACAGACCAGACCCGACTCACTTGCAACCCAACCAGTTTCGATTGAATTAAATTTGAGTTTGATTGAAAAAATCTAGTCAAAATTTATATCCAAGCACAACTTGGAGACCTCAAGTTAATTACATGCAAGCAAAAGGAAGACAACATGATAAGATCATAAGAAAATTAATTAACCAATGAAGAACAGAAAAACTAAAGCTCGTAAATTTTCTAATGCAAAATCGAACAACAAATATTTACAACATTCTCAAGTGCTGTGCTATGCCAAACAAAATAATATAAAACCAATAAATACGACACAACAAAAACAATATTCAGTCACAAAGGATAAATAATTTCACAAAGTTCCCACAGTAAACATTTTGAGCAAGAACATGTAAAAGAACTGTAGCTACATTCATACATATAGACATACAGCGATAATGATTGGCATAGATTAAGTGAGTTTGCGCCACAGGCGACCTTTCGAGACCGTGAGGGACTTCACTTTAGGGAAAACAAATCCTGCCTTGGGAGGATTGCCATCAACAAGAGAATTTTCATATATTTCTTTGCACTCTTGAACCACCTGTTTCGACAAAAATAACCAGTGTAAATGGATATTATTATATACTAAATGAAGTTGTACTGAAACAATCGAGAGAAAGGCAATTCGAAAAAATTCAGTTCAGCTAGAAAATACAGGTTACAATTCCAATTTAATTGAAATTTTACCTCTTTAGCATCTTTTCTTGGTATGCCTTCTCGTAAGCCTACAATTTTTTCAACAACTTCTGGCTGCAAAAAGAAAAAAAAAAAAAAAGAAAGAAAAAACGAAAACAGGGAGAAAAAAAGCTGTTAATGTTTGAAATACCGAACAGTGATCCTCTTCCACAATTAGATCCTTGTCAGGACAACGAATCAGATGAAGATTTCTGGTCCTATAGTGTAAGGCTAGACTAAGCTACCACAAACTGCCAGAACTGATGTATCTCGAATGCACTTACAGGACAATCTGGTTGATGTTCGAGAATATTTGTGTACACGAGCGTGAAAGAATCTGGGCTTTCTGAGGAAGCAAGTTCTCTCAAGTCACCGAGTACCCGTACTCGATTTTCAACTTTCTGCAACACAAATAACAGTTTTTTTAAGCCAAAAGATGGTACTTAAACAAAAGTATAGAGAATCAATAAAGTTTGCAGTGGAGCTTACGGAAACACTGATATATTCCCGGAAAAAGTCCATGAGGACCTCTTCATCTAGCTTCATCCTTTCAATAGTCTCTTCTTTGATATAATTTTTCTACATAAGAGATACAACAGAATAAGGCCAAACTTAATCATAGATTCAAATTTGTTGGAGAATGTATTCAACAAATAAAATATTTTATCATATATATAAACCTGGACAAGGAGGTGATCAACATAGACAACAATAGTTTCTTCCAGACAGGCCTCAACAAATCTCCGAAATGACCTTTCTTCTATGTACCTTTACACGTATGAACATGGCCAGAGAGAATGAATGAGATTCAACATCAAGTAAAGATGAGAAGTTGGTTCACTCTACCAATCTAAAAATTTTCAAAATTGGGTGCAATAACTTACATTTTGACATCTGTGAAGTAGTCACCAAATGTCGCAACTAAGTATTCAGTCACCTGTCCTTCCAACCAATCTGGGATATCCAAAAAAAAATAATAATAATAATAACAATAAATCATTTATTATGAAACGTCATGACCGAAGCAAATATCTAATTGGCTAATTTTCTTTTCTCCCTCAGTAAGCCTAGACAGAAACTTGTTGACTAGTTCTGGATCAACAGCCATACAACTTATCTATATGGTTATATATAATATATTTGGAGCATGTATGCAGAGCTTTTGAAACACAACTTGATTTTCTAACAGAACAGGGGAAGGTTCAATTATGTTGTCCTGTAGGATATTAAAACTCAACAGGTAAAATTTTCTATGACATATTTGTAAGAAGTGAAAAAGACTAATGTTTATAAAGTTAAATCTTAAAAGTAAAGACCTGTAGCATCTTTTTATCTATATATGCATTGAAGGATCTTAACGGTTATGACGGTACAATACTTAAGTGTGCTTGAGTGAGTGAAATGGCTATGATACACTGGTTCTTTTCTCAAGCGGTGTTATGAAGGTACAAGCTTTATACAGTACACACATTCATATACAAAAACCACAACCGTACCAAACAGTCAAATATATATTACCTTTCTGGTACAGCTTTACAAGTAACTCCTGGACTCCTGGATCTTCAAAAATAACACAAACTGTTTGATGAACAGTCTCCTAAATAATATTTGAGAATAATCAATTTTAGTGATCAACAAAACTTAAGCCAGTGTGGAAAATGTATAAGAATGGTTATTCAAGAAGATAACATTATTATGCACACATGCTAATTAACACACCACTAAATGAAGTACAATAGCACCATACTAAGCGTAGCATCCTAATTTGGCCTTACTACCCATTGAAGGAACCAATATTAAAGCAATCAATCCATGAGTAGCTATTAGTTTATAACAAACTCAATTTTTTAGTTCCCAAGGTAACAGATTCTCGTAAACACCAAATCAACATTCAAACGAAAGTTAACCAATATACCTTAAATTTGGAAAGAACATAATCTTAAATTTGGAAAAAGGATCACCCATATACCTTTGCAACCTCCAGAAACCCTTTGCAAGTGTCCTCAAAGTTTACCTGCAAAATTGATTGAAAATAGTTCAAGAAAGATCTGCGTGTGGCTAAATCAATGCTTCAGTTCGTAAACATTATACTTAATGGAGACAGAGAAAGAGGAAGTTTCGAAATTGAGAATTCTTTAGTATGATAAGTTTATAATACGCCTATGTAGTACATCCTCATCATATTTAGTGAGAGGATTTGCCTTGTCAAAGTCAATACACATCAGAACTTTAAATTGCTTATGCAATTTATAATTGATTTAAAAGAGGGTAGAAGATAAAAGTTTCACTCACCTGCTCAGCATAATTCTGAGGGAGGGCTTCAAGTGTGCTTGAACTTAGTTCCATGGCAAGATCATAGCACCGAAGATTGTTGTTGATCTGTCATATAATGATTCCTTTAGCAGGGTATCAATTACGCATATATAACAATTTGCAATCTAGCAGTGTTGCATAATTTTCATACCATTGCACATAAAGCTTCTAGACCAATCTCAGAAGCAGGTTCTTCCAATTTCTGCCTTTCAGCTGCTTGAAAATCAATCATTACCTGAAATGAGAAAAAAGGCAACACATATTGTTATCACCCATTTATAATATTTTATTTATTATCCATTTTAGGTGGAACAGTAAGGATATACTTTTATCAATTAATCCATCGAGCAACAGGGTAGGACCAAGACACAGATGTTGAGACTGAGAAATTGACATTGCTATGCTGGATAAAGCTAGAAGAGGCTGAAATAGTGTAAGAGTCAGAAAATACTCAAATTGAATGTACCTGAATGATGGCCAAAGCAATTCTGTATAACATAACATCAGTGCTATTTTCTCGTACAATCTGTACTTGCTCTCCAAGGATGCGAAACAAATCCACGGCAGCAGGCGTGTACAGTTTTCCATCATCCGTTTTCTTTGGTGGCTGTACCTTATCAGCCTCTAGTATATTCAAGTACCATTTCTACATAATACGAGGCCATCGATTGATCATTTGACCATAAAAGAGTGAGTGGATTGAAGGAAAGCAGTAGAGATGATATATTGTCAGAATACCCTTGTTGTGGCTTGCATTCGTTCAACATAAGCATTCATTAGAGGATCCATTGCACCACTCTCAGAACAAACTTGAGCCAGAGCCTCGTCAACTCCAAGTCCGATCAGATTTTCTTGGTAATCGACCACCCAGCCAGTTACCTAATACCAGATGTACACAATCATAATTGTACAGGTTCCAAGCTTACTCAGCCACAACGGAAAAGGAGCAAGAAATGAAATTTAAGCAAAGAACGAAGGCTACACTAGCAAATAATACTTAGCCAGCCACAACGCCAAAAAATCAAGGAGTTAAGACAACCAGAAGCAGTGTTTAAGAAAATATAAAAAGAAAATACTTTTCCATTTGACAGATACTTTTATAACCACAAATAGTATAAATGTCAAATAGCTTGATGATTGTATTTCATATAAAGGTCAATATATCACGTAAAATTATATGATATAGTACATTCATACAGTATTAACTCTGCTGATTATCCTACAGGGTCCATTGTCCAAATATTTAAGCTATCTTTTAACTCGAGTTTAAAAAATTTGATAAATAGTAATCAATATAAATCAAATTTAAACTACGTGCATCGAGCCTAAGGCTGCAACTTATATTTTTTAACTTGAGTTTCACAACTTCTGATTTTATTTATGTTTATACTTGTGTAGTTTGTAATGCTTCCAATGCATCGGGACAAAGACTGCAAATGCGAGCCGCTTGCGAGCGCTCAAGTCAATGCTCGACTTGAGCTTCGAGTTTGACCAAGCTCGAGCACCTTGAATTCAAACTCGAGTTGAGCATGAGCCTCTAGCCTGTAAGCTTTGACAAGCCGCTCGAGTACATATAAAATTACCTAAATACCCCTAACTAGACATTTTTTTTATTGATATTTGGGCCAAACTTGAGCAAAATTTGAGCCAATCTCGAGCATATGCATTTTTTCTTTTGGAGTCAGAGCTGAGCCTAAAAATGTTCGGCTCGTCAAGCTCGAGCAGCAGTAAAAAAAAAAATCAAGCCTAATTCTGTAAGGCCAATGCTTGACTCAGCTCAGCTCGCTTGTAGCCCTAATCGAGCCTATATATACTAGTTTAGTAAGTATAAATATAATATAGTGGAGAGAAGGTCGAAAACAATTGACAGCACAGAATAGAGGAGCAGCAAATTAAGATGAACTACCTTCAATATCTCTATATTAGTCAGATCATTAGCCCTGTCACTGAGTAGTCTCAGCCACTGAATAAATCTCTCAGTATAAAGGTTCACCATAAGCTGGAATATTTCATATCTGATGGAAATAAAATCAGAAAGCACAAAAAATAACCAAAGAAGATAACAAAGAATTTCCCAAACAATATCCCATCATGGAGCAAGCAAAAACGTAAAGAACAAATCGTCGCCATATTAAGAAATAAACAAGCAAACCTAGGTGGGAAGCAGGGAGCAACATAATCATAAATATCTCCAAGTTCTTCACCTATCTGAAAACAATAGAAATGTTTCAATAAGATAATAAATATATTTAAAGCAACATACACATGTAGAACTAGATAAAGCAAAATATAAAAAGAAGGAATCCCAAAGTTGTTTAGACAAATAATAAACCAGAGCACATATTCAGTTATGTCCCTCTATCATCTAGATCTTGATTGGTTCCCCAGTGAAAAACATTCGACCCAGTTAAAGTGTCGTCAGCCATGATTTTTGTGAAGCTTGCACCAGTGACATTTTACTGTAGCTCAAAAAAATGGCTATTTAAAATTGGACACTGAGATTATGTTGATGTAAGCAAAAGCTTTCCTCAGGTTTGACCAGTTAATTGATTTGTTAGGCATTCTATAGCCACTTGAAGTCTTGAACAACATATGAGGCTCTAAGATCAAATTCTAGTGATAATGATTCAATAATTTTTCAGACTAAAACGGTACTTATCAGCTATCAGTTTTACAGATTGCATACTTATACAGTTCCCTCACCTCATACCAGAATTTATACCATATACTGCCATTGGGATTCAATAACGAACATTTTAGTCACATGCCATTGCATCCCCCGGGTGTGTGACAATGTCATACAAAATATATAAATAAATAAACAAAAAAACGGTAGACGCTGAGATCAGAGCACTGAGTATCACTTTTTCGATTATACAGTACTAGCACTAACAAAGAATCAATCAAAAGCTAACCGCACATAGGCATACTTGAACAAGGTTTCAGTTATCTAGTACAACGATAGATGCATATAGTATATGAGGGAGATATTATGTTTATTATTCTACTATTTCTGAAACAATAGTGGATCTCAGCTTTTTCTCCATTTGTCATTTTAGTTGGGCATGCAATAATAGTTGTCAATTTTCTCAAGTTAGCAGGAGAGCTTACACACAACAAACCCACACATAGAGTGTGTCACATAGTACCTGTTTAGCCTCCTCTAAAGCTCCTTTTAGATCCTCAAATACAAGCTGCAAAGAATAACAACAGCAGCACATGAAACTGATACAAATTTTTTTATAAATGCTAAACTATTGCTGTGCATCAGAAGCAGAATAAAATATAGACCTCACTAAGCAATCGGCTGAACCGTGCTTCGACAGACTTCCTTATTTCCTCATAACATTTATCCTTGTAGCCTTTGCCTCGAACCTTCAATTTTTGCTGTGTAAGATTTCTAGAAGATGCTATTGAACTTGTAGATTTCCTATATTGCACGAAAACGAAGCCACTCAATTAACAAATTCATTCAAGAACTGCTTCAAACTGTAAACGATATGAATATGGAGTTGGAAATGAAATCATGATGCCAGTGCAGTTGCATTAATTGGTTCGGTAAATACTTGGCATTTCTACGAGGATTTGCTATAGAATCCATTTCACCACCTCCTTCAGCCTCAGCTGCTTCAGTAGCCAATTGTTCATCCAGGATTTCTTGCATCTCAACAACCCTTTTCATGATAAAGGTAAGAAACAAAAATATTCATCAGTACCTAAATGAACCCATCCCCAAACGAATGGTACCATTCCATTTGGAATAGACATACCTCAGTGCACGAACTAGTGTTTGCGGGCTGCAACAACAACAAGTATAATCCAGATCAGGACAAAAGTGCAAGCAGCACAGTACTAAAAGCTAGGCACCATACAGAAGAAGTGGAATGCTACGCAAACTGAAGTTTATGAGATCATTAAACTTGTAAAATTAAAGTTGCTAAAGTAAAGCATATAAAAAAAATATATTTATTAAAGAAAAGAAAATGCAAAGGGCAGTTCAGGACAACTAAAGCCTTAGAACAAAGTTACCTTTCCTTAGCAAGTTTGAAGAAGTTCGACATATGACCCCATAGCGTCTTCTCAAATGTCTCCCATGTTCGATCTATATCTTCAAAGTATTCACTGTGAAAAATAGCTACTAGTCCATCAGAAAATGTAATAATAACTGCTTGATTTTACAGACAAAAGAAAAGTATCCAATCATAAAGTATAGATATCCAAGACACTGCTTACACTCCAATGTTTCCATAGGTTTGTTATATTAGCATTATACTTTGTAAAACCTCAATTCTATCATGCATATGAAATGTTTTAACTCTTTATTCCAAATAATCAACAACGCATTGACACTATTCTATTGAAATCTAAAATGGTGAAGAGCTTCATGTAAAAGGTCTCATTGAAATGAATGTCATACAGATTGCCAACTGTCCTCATATTCTGATAACAAAGATACATTACTGAAACAGATACACGATTGCTGAGCCGAAATGCAAAGTTAGAGAATGATTTTACTACACAAACTAACAAGGATTAAATAAAGTCCACTTTCTGACCTCAATCGACCAACCTCTTCTTCATGAGATGAAGCAGCTGCTAAAGCAAACCGTCGCTTCCCATCCAGTGCAGTTAATCTCTAGAGTTGATTAAAAATACAAGATCAGTAGCACAGCATTTGGCGTTAGATTAAATTGGATAATTCGACAAAAGATCCCAACCTCATAGGTGTTTATAAGTTCCTTGTCATCACTCAAGGAATCACGTGCCTCAGCAGCCTCAACAGAGATTGACATCATACCCTCTACATCCTGACCAGTGAGAAAAATTTGAAGCAACCGATGAAGTTACAGGCATAGCAGTAAGAACTAAGAAGGTCTAGCAACTACATATGGAGCACGCAAGTTCAAAGCCTCCTTGGGGCAGCTTGATACAGTGCAATGGCATGAATGCAATATCTATATTTATGATTATTAGGTGATGTGTCAACAAAAAGATTCACCTTCAGAGTTGTGTTCAGGTTATTTCTAGCATTACTGAGGAGTTTGATTTTATCATGATTCTCAATCAATGTTTGGCATTCTTGGCATAACCTGCCAGGAAGAAATATTATAGGTCAACCTATAACATCAATAAGTGAACGCATGAGATGCATTCTTTTACTGATTAATATAGATTTTTCTGTCTCATTGGCATACTTCTCAATCTCCACAAAATTCTCTCTCAGTTCACTTATTGTCTTCTGGGACAAGGAAAGTGAGTCAAGGCCCGCTTGTGCCTGTTCAACCTGCACCAGAAATACAGAGTAAATTACAATATTGGTCACAGACTTCAAAACGGAAAGAAGTATAAAGCCTCTAGAACCACATCTTTTAAGAAAGCTGAAAGTTTAAAAGTTAATAGTTTCCCGAACAGTAATTCAATATGGAAATAAGGAGGTGTTCAGACTAATGCACCATCATTACCTGTTCAGCAACCATTGTACTGAGTTGTGCATCATTTGCCTGGAAGCAAACAATAAAAATTGTTCATCACTCAATACACAAATAATCTTTAACATAATACGAGCTAAAAATAATCAAAACAAAATGCAACAGTAAAAAACTCTATAGTTTGACGAAAAGAGCTTCTACCGACCAAACAAAACAAAATTGACATGAAATAAAATTGAAAACCCTAGGACATGCTTATTCAACAAAGCAATAGACATGCACAAAAAAGTGGCGCTTGATTTATGCCTAATTCATTGACTTTAACAACATAATTCGAGCAGAATTATTAGAAGTAAAGACTGCTTGAGAGTATGCATAGCCTGATAAGTAGTATTGACGAAAATGACGAAGAACAGGGAGCTTCTCTACAATATCATAACAACATCATGCCCATTCAACTAATACATTAGACTACACTCTCTTTATGGCATATACGACAAATAGTTTCAAGTTCCATGTGACTCCATACCATGTAAGATCATGAAAGATCACTTTTTCACTTCCATTTTGCAAAATTAAACATTTGGTCATAATATCAGTCGTCGTTGGTCGTTGTTTTGGTCGCGACAGACCTGAGTATCATATTTGCAAAGACAAAAACAAAAGGTGGCATTTTACAAATTCCAAACCAAGAGAATCCTTCTAAACTTCATTCGGATTATCCCCACGTAATCACTAGTACAAAAATCAAGAATAACCAGCAAACAAACAAGCAATCCCTTACTAGCCCTTCACTGTTTATATTCATTGAACTAATACTCAATATCCTCCTTCCCATATTTTCCAAAACTGTCGATCCCATACAAATTCAACAACAAACTATAATTCTCCTGATCACATGCAACTCAAAGTTTCACCTTTGCCTGAAATCTACGAATCTACATCTATCCTTTTCTACAAATTTTAAAATCTATGAGCTTGTGTGCGATTTTTACAAGCAGACAAAATTCCTGGCAGGAGGAAAATAAACCTGCTGACGGCCAATGGAGCTTTGGAATCCAGGTAACTGCAAAATCAATCACACACACACGCGCGCACATAATGTACCTGCTGACGGGAAATGTAATCAGCTTTGATTGAGGAGATGGACTGCAAAAGCTCCGGCAGCGGCAGAAGCTTGGCCACCTCCCTCACCGCCGCTTCCTTCGCCTCCACACCTAGATCCTCCACCATCATCTTCTTCACCGAGCTCTCTCTACAGCACTTGCGATTACCAGAAACTCAAGGAAATGTTCGAATTATGATTATTCAAAACTGGTAATTTGCAGCTCGGATCTTGACTGGACCGTGTGGAGAAGAAAGAAGCGTTTTCCGATTTGTTCGAAGTCGGGTCTGGATACTGCCCGTTTGATTTTCGGATCGAATTATTTAAGTTGGGCTTTTTGTTGGCCCAATCTAATTGTAGCTGGATTCGGACTAACTGTGCTTAAAGTGTGTGGGCTGAATAAAGGTTGCCCATTATAAGTCCATACAGGTGGGACTCAAAATAGTCATCCTAATTGTTCTTATGGTTTCAAGTTTCAACTATAAATATTCATGATGTTTAATCTTAGGGGCGGAGGCACTCATAGCTATAGCTCGATCCGAGGCGAACCTAAACTTAAATATGACTTGTTAAATTAATAAGCTGATAATCGAGTTTGAGCGTAGCTAGTTAATGAGCTGAATTCGAGTCGAATTTTTTGTTAAAAGTTCACAAAAACTAAGTAAAAATCTATATTTATCAAATCCAATAAACCTTAACAAGTTGAGCCGAACCAAGTCGACGAACATTTTCTTTCATTTAACAGCATTACACATAGCCTTTGCGTGCCTCTCATCATTCCATAAAATTGATAAAATTTTAACGATAATACATTCCATTGAAATTTGGACATTTCAACGAAAATATCATGATTTGCAAATGGATATTTCTTTCTTTCTGTGTAGTGTTTCATGTTGTGTCAATCATCTCATTTGTCTCTATAATCGTGTTTTTGTTCATGTTGTATTCGTGTTTGGTGTCGTGTCAACAATTATCAGCCCTGACAATATATGACAGGACAAGAACATAAAAACATTTAATAAGATTGTTGTCAACAACCATAATCTAATCTATATCTATATAAAAAAAAAAAAATTATTTTATTTAATAAATTATGGCGGAAACATCCGTAATCAATATATATATAAAAAAGTTTATTTTGTAAAAAAAATATTGTGGTTTCCGCCAAATTATTTCTTTTTTCACTTAATATATAAATTTTTAGAATTAATTTCAAGCCAAAATGAAAATATTTGACATTAATTCACGTCGTGATTATGGTTAACTTTTCAAATTTAAAGATGTAAATAATAATAATAAAATTTATTTTACCTAAATTAGTTCTTTCGGTCAAATCATCAATCAATTTTTTTATTTGCAAATAACCTTAAAAACTGAGGTAAATGAATGCTAATTCAATCTCATCGTGTGTGGTAATGTTATATTACATTAATTGTTGATATTTTTTATATATAACACCTACAATATTCATATAAACCAATATACTTAATAACTGGTAAACAAATTATTATAATTGTTTAAACTACATATTGTTTTCATAGAACTAATATTTTATAGTTTTAGTTAATATACTAAATATACAAGAATCTAAAAGAAGTTTTTTTTTTTAATTTCTTTTCATTATAAAATTATTGTAAATTAATACATTTCTACTGCATAGTTGGTAAATAAACTATGAAATTGTAAAATGTAATTGTAAAATCTCATGATTATATAGATAATTTATTTCTTGTCAATTGTTTAATCAAATTTGTTTACTTATTATGAACAATTTAAATTTCAATGCATAAGAGCATCTCCAAGAGACTTCTTATTTTAGACTTCTTATTTGGAGAAATAAGGAGTCATCCTATATCCATTTGCTTCCTATTTTCTGTTGTTCTCCAAGAGTCTCCCTATTTTATAATTTGAATATGAACCAGGCCCACAAATCTATCTAAAAGCCCACTTGAAGCCCACTTGATATTGTAATTGTTAACGATTATAATAGTAATTAACTAATTTTATAATATTCACTAATTTTTTTAATTATTATAATTAGTAATTTATTATTAATTATTTTTTATAATTTTTCCTTTATTAATATAATATTATTTCTTTTTAGATTATTAAATATTATACTAATTGTTATTATAATTTATTAATTTTTAATCAAATAAATTATTTTTTTGAACAATTTTTATTTTTTTTATTTTAATTATTATTATTAGTAATTTATTATTAATTATTTGTTATATTTTTCATGTATTAATATAATATTATTTCTTTTTAAATTATTATTATTATTATTATTATTATTTGAAATGGGGGGTCGTTTTTCCCTCCCCATAAATGAGGAAGAGAAGCCTCTATTTGAGGTCACCTTAAAAATAGCACCAAGTTTAGGGGAACTGTTGGAGACAATTTTTGAGAGAAAATCTCTATTTTTGAGATAAAAAAGAGAAATAGGGAGGCTCTTGGAGATGCTCTAATGGGTGAAAAACTTTAGGATGATTGATTTGATTTTTTGGCTAATTAACATAAATAAACCCACAACATGTTTTTTATATTTATTTTTTTCTAGTTAGTATCGATGATATGTAATATGAGCGCATACGAAACTGTTTTTAATTTTTCCAACTATTATGAGTTATGATAAATTTATAAATTAAATAAAATCACAAGCGTGTATATAAAGTAAAATATTTTCATGCACAATATTTAAATTTAAATTTATTTATAATTTTAAATTAGTTACATTAATAAACAATATTAACACATTAATATCTTAACTAGTACAGAGCCCGTGCAGTGCACGGGGTGTACAATTTTAAGGTTATTTATCGAGTCTTATAATTATATAAATAAATAAAAAAAAATGTACGGGATATATATAGTATGTGACCTGTAATAGGCCAAAATGTGAACACGGGTGAAGCACGGAGTGCACGATTTTAAGGTCATTTATTAGTACAGAGCCCGTGCGATGCACGGGATGCACAATTTTCTAGTATGTGTAATAAAAATACATACCGTATGCACGAGACAGAAACACTAAATGAGCCATTTTCAGAGCTTGCCCGCTAAGTAGCTCCTGAACACGGGTGCACAATTTGTAGTACGTACCATAAAATCAGAACAGATTTCC